AAAAAAAAAAAAAAAAAAAAAGAAAATACCCCTTACCTTTTTTTTTTAAGATTTTATTTATTTATTTGACAGACAGACTTCACAAGTAGGCAGAGAGGCAGGCAGAGAGAGAGGAGGAAGCAGGCTCCCTGCTGAGCAGAGAGCCCGATATGGGGCTCAATCCCAGGACCCTGAGATCATGACCTGAGCCGAAGGCAGAGGCTTTAACCCACTGAGCCACCCAGGCGCCCCTACCCCTTACTAAAATGTTACTTTTCTACCACAGCTACAAACATTCCATAATTTCATGTATGGAATTCAATAATAGAATTAAAAATCTTCTAAATTGTAGTTTTTTAATTGACACCAAGCAAACTTCCTAATAATACAGTTTTTATATTTTTATACTAATCATGACATTCACAGAGAAGTACTTTTCTGTAGTTCAAGTCTTCACGTTAATGAGAACAGGCTGATTTAAAAAAAAATAGGGTAGTAAAATGCAACTGTAACAACTGTAACTTTTTCTGCTAACTCACTTTGTAAATGAAAGAATAGGCATGATTATTACTTGACTCAGAAGTAGAAGGGATGTGGATAGTATAGAACTGTCAGGAGCAGTTCTTTTTCTTGTACCAGTGTTAACTAGTTTACCAGCATATTTATGACAGCTACTGTTTTATCATTATTCTGCACTCTCTTGTCCTTGACTCCCTTGAACAGCTCTCCCTCTTTGTCTCTTTCATTTAACTCCCTTCTCGTTAACAACTTAGAGCCACATGACAGTATGTAATTGCAATTGTTTTTGTAATGCAGGTGTTTTATATCATTGGCTTTTCAGGTGAGGTCTTTTCTTTGAATACTATTGGAACTGTTGTGTCTGCCACATTACTCGTTTTATTTTTTCTAGGCACATTGCAGGACTCAATGCCAACCGAGCCAAAAATATTATTGAATGGCGAGAGAAAAATGGGCCCTTCGTCAATCGAGAACAGCTGAAGAAAGTGAAAGGTCTGGGTCCAAAATCTTTCCAACAGTGTGCTGGCTTCATCAGAATCAACCAGGATTATATTCGAACATTTTGCAGGTGATTAGTAAACTGTCCGCTCTGGGTTCTGTTATCAACCTCCTCTCTTACTGTTGCCCCTCCTGCTCACTGGCCTCAATTCTAGGTGTCCGCCTGTTCATTCCTTCCTTCAACATGGGTTGACTCTCTGATCTTTGTTAGGTACTGGGAATCCAGCAGTGAACAAATCAACAAATTCCCTGCTCTCATGAAGTTAAATTTTAGTATGTGAGACCAACAATAAACTAGTAAAATAAATAGTTTCAGATGTAGTAAATTATACAAATTAAAACAGAAAGATGTGACACTGTATGGGGAACAGGATGAGTTTATTACTCTTTATATGAGTTATTCACTGAAAAGTTATTTGAGCCAAATTTTGAATGACATGGAGGAGCTAGGGACAGAGGGGCTGGAAGGAAAGCATCGTAGGCAGAGTGTACAGTACAAGTGCAGGGTCCCACGCAAGACCAAATGTGGTGTATTCAGGAAATGAAACTGTGTGACTGGAGCATCCCAAGTGGGAAGGATTTGTGCAAGATGAGAGGACTTCGCAGTGGCTGCTGTATATTGACAGCTGTTTCCCTAAGTGTAGTTGGGCCTCCTCAATCCCTCCTCCCTGAAAACTGACCAAAGGATAATTATCACTTGTGTAGATTAAGAACTGAATTCTTGCTCTTATTTCTAATCCTGGTAGCACAAAACCAAAGAACTTGGGTAAACTTCTTAGCATTTAACATCATGAAAGAGTAGTGTGGGGTGTTTTTTTTGTTGTTGTTGTTTTTTATTTGTTTGTTTGTTTTTTAAGATTTATTTACTTATGTGAGAGAGAGTGAGAAGAGGGAAGGGCAGAGGGGGAGAGAGAGAATGAGAGAGAGAGAGAGAGAGAGAGAGAGAGAGAGAATCTCAAGCAGACTCCCCTCTGAGTGCAGAGCCTGATGCAGAGCTCGGTCCCAGGACCCCAAGATCATGACCTAAGCCAAAATCAGGAGTTGGCTGCTTAACTGACTGAGCCACTCAAGCATCCGGAAAGAATAGGTTTTTTTGTATTTGCTTTAGGACTGTTTCATTCGTATTATTTTTTTATTTTGACAAAATTATAATAAAGTTAATAAGAAAGAATCATCTTTATTGTGCAAAAAGACTAATAAGGGAAAACCAGCCCTGCTGGATGATAATAATAATATAAAATAACATTTAGTTTTGATGTAGAAATGGAAGAGAATAGAGTCTGAAATTCACCAAAACATAGGCAGAATTTAGTTTATGATAATGGAAAAGTTTCAAACAGTGAGGAAAATTAACTATCCAACAAGTAACATTATGACACCTGGCAGGAATTTGATATGCGTAGGGGAAGCTCTACTTCCACTTCATATCTTATACCTAAATAAAACCCAGATGAATTATAGACTTAAATAGAAGAAGTGAAACTGCAAAAGTACCAGAAGAAAACATGGATAAATTTTGCAGAACATTGGAGTGGAGGAGGCCTTTACTAAGTAGACAACAAAACCTAGATGCCAGAAATGAAAAACAATTGAGGATATAATAATTCCATGTTTCTTAGTTTATGTTTTTGAATACTTGATTAGAAAATTCACATGGTATAAAAAAGAATAAAATAAAAAGTAAAGGGCACCTCAGCCTCTCACTCCAAAATAGTTTCTTATATATTGCTTTCTGAAAGTAAATTTACACTTAGATCAACTTGGATGTTTATTATTTAAAAATGCATACAGAAGGGATTGTGCTGTCCAACTATTGGGAACTTACTTTATTTGTTTCAGTAATATATCTCAGACTTCTTTCCACTATTACATATAGATATATGTCATTATATATAATGCTTGCATAATAATTATTTTATGGGTGGACCTTAACCTAGTGTAATCAGTGCCCTATTGATGAACATTTGGGTTCTTTTTAAAGCCTTATGTTTTTTCAACTGATAACAAAGTACTTGAAAATTCATGACTGTTACATCTTCTTGACAGATCATACCTTTATTCAGAATGGACTACTGCTATCTCATCGAGTGTTTTTTGCTTTGAAATCTATTTTGTTTTTTAGCAGTGTTGCTACATTTGTCTTTTCAGTATGCTTGGTATTTTTTTTAATTTTCAAACTTTCTATGACATTTAATTTTTTTATACAACTCTTATAGCCAAATAGATTTCATGGTTTTGTTCAATTTTATATTTGTGCCTTCACATTTATTACATTTATTGATAGGTTTTAGACTTAATCTTTTATCTATTATATATTTTATCATCATCATGCTTTCTGATTTCCTTTTATGCTGTTTGTTACATTTCTCAGCTAACAAGTTTTCCCACCTCATTTTTATCTCCCCTTCATGATTTCAAGTTGTATGTCTTTTTCTGGTGATTATCCTTAAGTGTCATTTAGAGTGGCTTCTGTAGTTAATAGGTATCTCTGTCCTCCTGGAGAAGATTAGCACCATAGGACTTGTCCCAGCCTTCTGCTCTTCAACTCTATCCATGAGGAGATGACCTGGGATTTTAATTTTAGTTTCAGACTGTCCTTTATATATATTTCCATAATTCATGAGCAGTTACTAAGTGTTTATCATTTCCAGGCTCAACACTGTTTCTTTTAGCCCACATTATCACTTTTCTTGAACTTGTTGTTTTTGCTGGAGTATATCCTTAAGAAATTCTTTTCAGAGAGGGTATATTATATGGGTTGTACTTTAGTCCTACATGTCTGAAAATGATTTTAATTTGCCCCTCCTATTTGAATGCTAGTTTGGTAAGGTATATGGTTCTAGATTCAAAATCATTTTCTCTCAGAACGTTTAAGATACTTGTTCACTGTGTTCTGGCATCTATGTTTAACAATGAGAAATCTTATGCCAGTCTGATTCTAGTTCTTTTGAGGTAATCCGTTTTATATTTTTCTCTTAATTCTTAAATCATATTCTAATGTTGTCCCGCAGTGTGTCTAACGTTAGTCTTTTTCCATTCATCCTATTTTGTACTCAGTAGGTTCTTTTAATTTAAGAACTTCTAATTCTCTTCAGTTTTGGGAGATCGTCTTCTCTTTCTCCTTTCCTTTTTCTTTTTATTTAATTTACTTCCTCTCGTTTTTCTCTCTTCTCTCCTAGAATGCCAGTTATACCAGCTGAATCATTTAGGAATGTTTTTGGCTTTAAGTAACAGGAAACTCTATTAACAGTGTTTAAATAAATACATGGTAATTTCTAGGGGGCGAATGGTCAGAAAGTGGGTGCTGTTTGTGTATAGTTGTACGGCAGAGAAATAAGCACATTTTAAAGACTTCTTTTCTTCCCAACCTTCCCTCTCTTCCCACTCCTTGCCTCTTTACATGGTTACAGTAGTCAGCAAGCTGAATCTGCTGGTCAAGTTCAGGGAGCTGCTGTGACATCTTCAGCAGGTGTTGAGGTCACAAATGAGAAACCGGGCAAGAAGAAGTGCAAAACTGCAGTAAATGTTGTGCTGAAGCCAAATCCTTTGGACCAAACTTGTATTCACCCGGAATCGTATGACATAGCGATGAGGTAAGTCTGAAGCCACATGAGAATTCTCCTTGCCCAGAGTGAGTTCCCTACAGCAAATGGCCTTTGTTTTGGCACAATGGAGACTTAAAAAATATGACCATGTTTAACATGACAACATTTTTCAGAAGTTCCGCATTGCTGAGTTATGTGGCACATTATTTTATTTCAGTGAGGAATGAAACCATTATTCCTGGAGCAGTGTCAAGCTAATAAACCCTGGTATTAATGGTGAAGTGTGTGTAATGGAAATTGCATGGCACTCTCCTCTATTTGTTTTGGAAATTAACGAGACACAAATGACTAGCACCTGGCTTAAAGCTTGTGCTTATCTAAAGATAAAGCCCTTTTCAAAGTAAACAGCCAACTCTCAGATTTCTTAAGAAATATTGCTCTGCACAGTTATTAGAGTCTAAGAAATGATGTACTTTTAATGAGCATACATTACACAGAATGACATGGGGGAGGTTTTTTGAGTACAAGGAAACATTTAATGTAAGGCATTAAAAGAAAAAATTTTAATACCACATTTAATTAAAATGTTTTTGATTAGTTCAAAAACAGTGTCTTGCTATGTCACTAAATATTTTAAGACTTTTTGTGAGTTAAATGACAGTGGGTTTAAAAATAGTGAATATTTTAACTTCCCCTGTGCCCCATCCTAGACGATTCCTGCCCCAGCCTCCTACAGGTAACTGTGTGTTCTAATTTTTTCTGCCGAAGAGTAGTTTGCCTCTTCTAGGACTTCATATGAATGATACCATACAGTTGTACTCTTGTGTAAGACTTCTTTCAGCATAAAGTGTAGAGATTTTTATCCATATTGTAACAAGTATAAGTAGCTTGTTTCTTTTTATTGGCTAATATTTCATTGCATGAATATACCACAATTTATTCTCCTTATTGAAGTACCTTAAACTCTTTCTAATTTTTGCCTTTTATGAGTAAAGCTGCTATGAACATTCTTGTACAGTTTTTGTTGTTGATATTTGCTTTCATTTTTCTTGGAAAAATACTTAGGAGAGGATTTGCTGGGTCATAAGGTAGGTGAATGTTTTAGTTTTCTTAGAAACTTCTAGACTTCACTCCAATATAGTGATAACCATTTTACACTTTCACCAACAATATACGAGTTCTGGTTACTTCACATCTTCACCATTATTTGATGTTAATCTTTTTAACTTTAGCCATTCTTGTGTGTATGTGGTAGTATCTCTTTGTGGCTTTAATTTGCATTTCTGTGGTGACACTGAGCACTTTCTCATGGGCTTATTGGCCATTGATATACCTTCTTTTATGAATTCTGTTCATATCATTTAGCCATTGAGTTGTTTACCTTTTTATTATTGGGTTGTGGGCTTTTTTTTTTTAATGTATTCTGGATACTAGTTTTTTGTCAGTATATGTTTCACAAATATTTTGTCCCAAGTTGTTCTTTACTTCTTTATTTTCTCATTTAGTGTCTTTTCAGGAGCAGAAGTTTTGAATTTTGACAGTGTCTACTTTATCAATATTTTCCTTTTATAGTTATTGTTTTCCCTGTGCTAAGAAACTTTTGCCTACCTCGAATCGTGAATATATTTCTCAGTGTTTTTTCCCAAAAGCTTGATGCTATCAGCTTTTACAAAGGTCTGTGTTACATGTGAGGCTACATTTCATGTATGATTCGAAGTAGGGGTCAAAGTTCATTTTCCTTTTCCATTATGAACATTTACTTATTTTGGCACCATGTTAAAAAAACAACACAACTTTTTTTTCCTCCATCCATTGCTCTGGAGACTGTTGAAAATCAAGGGACTATATGTGGGTCCATTTCTGGCTCTGTTTCATCTGTTTATCAATTTCATACTATCTTGATTACTGTAGCCTTACACTAAGTTTTGAAACAGTGTAAGTCCTCCAACTGTTTTTTTTTTTTAATATTGCTCTATTCTAGATGATTTGCATTTTCCTATGCATTTTAGAGCTTATCAATTTTCATTAAAAAACAAAACCTGGTGGGGTTATGATTGGGATTACATTGAATTACATTGAAGTGATTGTAGAAGCAGCAGATGTCTTCATAATATCTATTGAGTCTTTTGACCAAGAACTTCTATCTTTTCGCTTATTTTGGTCCTTCATTTCTCTCAGTAGTATTTCAGAATTTCCACTGTATGGGCTTGCATGTCTCTTATTAAATGTATTTTATATTTTTCAGCACTATTATAAATGGAATTTTTAAAAATTTGTTTCTAATATATAAAAATACAATTGATTTTGCCTAGTAAATTTGTATCTTGCAGCCTTGCTAAGTTCACTGACTAGTTGTAGTAAGTGTTTGTAGATTCCTTAAGTCTTCCTGTATAAACAAGTTATCAGCAAATAGATGAAAGCTTTACTTCTTCTTTTTTTAATCTTAATGCTCTTTATTTCTTTTTCTCATTGCAATGTCTAGGACCTTTAGTACTGTTTTGAAGAGTGGTGAAAGTGGGCATCCTTGTCCTGTTCTCAGTCTTAGCACATGGTTCTCATTTTTTTATTATAAAAAAATTACGGTCTCGTATTATAGTAATTATATTTTTAGTGTTAGTTATTTAAGAAGATGAATATGTGCTGCACATGTAAGAGATTTTATACACTTCTTAAAAAAACTGACATCTCCTTGGGTACTAAATTAGCATTTTGTTACATGCAAATCAGTGTCTTTTTTTTCAATGTCTTTTTTAGTGTATATTTTTGTTTGCTTTCATGATATGATTCTAATATAGTTCATAATTTTTTCAACTTACTCTCTAATGTAGGCACAAATTTTTTATTTCTGCATATCTCTCTTTTTTTTTTAAAGCTGAGTAATACTCCATCACATGATTGAACTGTAATTTATTAATAGCAGTACTAGTAGTGGTTCCTTATGGTGGATTCCTAGAAGAGGAGTTACTCTGCCAAAGGGTTTGAGAGTTTTTGTGGCTCTTGATATACATTGTGAAGTAACATACTAATTTATAATTACCACCAGCTCTGTTGGAGCTTGAGCGATCTTTAATTTCTCCTGTTAAGCAGGACTTTTTTGCCCATTTTTACATAGGCCACTTTCTGTGTTTAGGGCATAAAAGCCCTACCAATAACTTCACCCTTCTCTGTGCTTTCCTTTTAGAGCAGCCTTGTCTCTTAGAAAGAGGGTGCTTATGGACGATTTCATGGGAAATTTTGTCTACATGAAGTTCAACTCCCAACCCTTAAATCTGGCAACAGAACTAGTAGTTTATCTAATTAAACTTACCATCCCCATTATCTACCTTGGAGCTGTGATAGTCATTTCTGGCTTTTAAGCATACTCAGTATGGACATCATCAACATTACTCAAGATAGGTAGTTCATACTTTCATATAGTGTTACACAGTGTCTTCCTGGGGAAGTAAAGCTCATTAAGGTTATGATTAGATCATCATTAGTCTGACCTCAGTTCTGTAAAAGGAAGTCCGATTACAGTTAAGTTCACTTTTAATTACATCAGAAAACCAGTAGGAATGTAATGGTTTTCATGCTCCCCTACCATAATGTCACTCCCAGAAATACACCAAGATGTGAAGCCGTTAAGTCTTTTACTTTTGTATTTATGGTATTCTCCCTCACATACTGTTTTAGAAAATTGAAGGCATATTTTTTAACCTGAGTTAGTTATTTAGTGTTCTTTAAAAAGCCTACCTTTTTAAACTATTTTTATTACTTTTTTGAAGTTTTATTTTACCAGTTTTATTTACATGTAGGGATTCTCTATTAACTATTAAAGTGCTTTGTTGTGTGAGCTGGAATTTTTTCTGACTTGTTTACCTTTTTTATCTCCTTGTAATGCTATTTTGTTTTTGAAATATGAATATTTAGTTTTTATGAAGTACACCTATTTTTGTTTTTATGGAAATTAGTCTTCTGTTATGATAACTAATCTCTGAGGTCAATTCAGTATTTCCCATACTTCTTTCATATTCTTTATGGTTTTGATTTTTACTCTGTGAATTTTATAGTTGATGGTTATATTTATTACTTAGAATGTATAGAACACTGTGGTAGGGCCTGAAGAATATAAAAATGAATAGAGGGACTTCATGCTCTCAAAGAATCTACTAAAGTAGGCTGAAACTATTACTTTAAAAAACCGTAATAGAAATCAGTAGTCGGTGCCCTTCATGAAACAGAAATGACAGAGACATCATTTCCCAATGGGGTTGTCAAGAAAGGGCAAGAATGACTTAAGGCGTTTGGACTGAGAAACTGAAAGGATGAACTGCCATCATCTGAGATGAGGAAGGCTATGCTTGTAGCAAGGTTTGGGGAGAGACCTGGAGTTGAGCTGAAGGCCTATTAGGTTTGAGCCATCAAGTAGGCAGTTGGATACATGAGTCTGGAGTTTGGAAGAGTGACTGGGCTAAGGATATAAATTGGAGAGTCTTGTGCTTATGCAGGTCCTTAAAGCCATGGATGGGAAGAAGTCACCATAGGAGAAACCAAAGTTTAGTTCTTTTCTTTTTCCCTCTTCCCTTTTCTTTTCTTTTTCCCTTTCTTTTTCTTTTCCCCTCTTCCCTCCATTAACAGTGAGTTTCTACTTCATCCTCCAGTGTCTCTAGTATTCATGTTATTTTTGCCATTCATATCCAGTAAGTATCTTTTACACCCTTCATTCAGTCTTTAGCAAACTGTATTGAATGTCCTTTTAAAATATACCCTGGTGAGAATTTTAAAATATACCCTTTTATAATATACCCACTTCTCAACTCTTGTGCATTCCTCTTAGTCTCAGTCACCATCATCTCTGCCTGGATCATGACTACTGCAATTAGTCTAACAGGTCTCCCTGCTCCTACCACTGCCGAGCCAGATAGTCTGTTCCTAGCACAACAGACAACTAGATCCTTTTAACATATAAATCAGAGTGTTGTCCTTCTTCAACATAAAACCCTGCTATCACTTCCAGTTTCACTCAGAATTGAGACCAAATCCCGATAAGAGCTCCCAATGCCCTTTTG